TCCAGACTTGTCAGAACAATCTTTCTTTGGATGTCCTGGAAGCCATGGGAGTGGTGCCATCCAAGACTTGGAAAGAATTGATGGTGCACGGAGAACAAGCTGAACGCTTTCTCAAAAGGAAGAAGGCTGAGAGAGGCCAACCGACGGCGAATACTCCAAAGCAGAATTTTGTTCCTCGCTGTATGGGAAAGGCACTGATGGCTGTAGTAGATGCGAATCAGACGTTCTAATGACAACCACAATAGCAAGTGTTGGCAGCATCAATAGTAGCAGCCTCAAAGGCAGCAGAGGACTTTAGAGCCAAAATCCCCGAAGGAGTACTCCTTCAAGGAAGACGAAGTTCCTGTTATCTTCAAGTATCTCCTGGAGAACAACAAGGTCAAGTTGCCACCGATCACAGATCAGGAAGAAGCTAAGAGGACTACAGACCTGAAATACTGTGCATATCACAGAAGATTCCATCATCCAACTAAAGCTTGTTATGCCCTAAAAGACAAAATCCACGCATTGATTGACGTTGGCATCATCACTACGAAGCAATCCAAAGAAAAGAAGGTAGGTGTGAATGCAGTGTCTATCAACTTCGGCTCTGTCCCTCTTTCATGGTTCCAACCAGAGCCTGTGTCAAGGATGGAAATAAGATTGTTAATGACAATCCTTATGAATAATGCCAAAAAGGGCTTATGCCACACACGGCACCTAATGGCGAGGTTCTTTGGGTCCACCCATATCTCCTCAATGATGAGCAATGGACAAGATCCTCTTCTAAGTAAAAATCCAAGAGCAAGGGGAAATCTTGTTGCCCCACCTCGGCAATTCCGAAGAAAGACGACGAAGATGTCCCAACTTTGCCACTTTCTGAAGACAAACACAAAGTCTTCATGACCAATGAAGAACCGGTCTTCTCCACTAGAAGTGGAAACGAATATTGGTATAATTACCCAGAAGCTTCAGATCACTTGGCTAGACTGGGGGTGGTCACAACACCTCCTAAATCTTCAGAGGATTCTCAGCAGCAACCAACTACTAGATAGAAGGAAGTTGCGGCCAAGCAAAAGGAAAAGGAACACTAACACAATGAGGTTCAAAACCCGAAGCAGTCTTCAGTCGACCGATTAGAAGAGATAAACCAGGAAGTTCGAACGTGCTATACTGCTTCGATGTTATGACTCAACTAGCTAACATCCCAGCGAGGATAACTCTGTACGAGTTATTCCATCTTTCTAAAGACACCAGGGAGGCTTTACAAGAAGCTTTGGCTGATTCTAATGTATTCATCACTCAGATCAAGCAACCCCCTGAAGAGCCAGAGCCACCAGTTCAACACTGCAACCTTGCAGCGAAACAGTTCCCATACATCACCTTCACCAGGGATGACATGCAAGTATGAAACTCGGAACATGATAGGTATTTATACTTCACCGAATACATCAGCTCAAGCATTGTCAACCGGATCCAAGTCAATCAGGGTTCCACAATCAGTATCATGCCACTCTGATTGATGTATCATCTTGGAATTCCTGCCAGCAAGTTAGCGTCCATAGGCACTGTTATATATGAATTCAACACCAGTGGGTCCAGGCCACTAGGTAAAATCCGAGTGAAGTGCTAGCTTGGAGATTTGAGGTCAGAGGTCATGTGTTATGTGATTGATGCTGAGACCTCCTATAACTTACTATTGGGTCGATCTTGGATCCATGGTAATATTACAGTACCTTCCACCCTCCATTAGTGTCTAAAGTATGTGGACACGAATAATGAGGTCAAGACGATGGTCGTAGATAAGCAACCATTTAAAGGGTTGGAAAATTATTTTACCAACTCCCTTCTATACGGTGTTGAATCTGATACTAAACCATCGGTCTAAGGCATGGATAGAAGTGAGGAAGATGATACCGAAGCCGGGCTTGATTACGACAAAGGTCTTGTATTAAATGACATTGAACCCTTTGTAATCGATCTTGACGGTGGTGAATCGTCATATGGATGTTGTAACTGGCAACTTGCCGATCATACAATAAATGATGATTTAGAGTACCCACTGTGTCTTGATAATGTAATGTGGGGGCTATATAATAACCCTGACATACACATGATACTTCGATCATCTTGCATGACAAAGAAGTGTGTTCAATACTCGTTCGGAACAATTTCTGTCCTTCCTACCAAGGTAGGGGGTGGAAAGGATATAGTCTTCGATAAAGGAGAGTTGTGTCCACCATCAAATCCCTTCGTGAAGAATGACAACGATGATGAGAGACCTGGCCACCATTTATTCAAATATAGTTCACAGTCACATAACTACATGAGGAAATGGGGATATAACTTCGCGCTCGAAGAAGGTCTTTGCTTTAGTCGAGGTCCTTGAGTCACTCCCTGGCCTACCTATGTGCCAAAAGGAAAGCCCGACAACTATTACAGACATAGACGAGGTCTAGGCTACGTCTATTCATCTGATGACGAATGTTATTGGTAGGTCAATGATCAATCATCCAACCCAAACAGAGATGGACACTCATCGGACTCTTCGGATTGGGACTCTGATGTTAGCCTCAGAGAAATATTCAAAGACCTAATGTCAAATATGGCTACGATTGATCCTGTAATGATGGAGGGAGATGATTAATTGCCAGCTTGGGAAGATCCTTAGATCCACCACTTGAACATCCAATACGGTGACAGATTCGAGCAAAGAGAACCCCCTATCGAGGACAAAGTAGTCCAAGTCAATATGGGCGATGAAGTAAATCCTAAGCCTATATTCATCAGTGATAGTCTTTGACCAAAAGAGAAGAAAGAGTTGATCTTCTCATCAGGGAGTACATCGACGTCTTTGCATGGAATTATGAAGACATGCCAGGGCTAGATCCAAATGTGACGATGCACCCAACATCAAACCGGATGTTAAACTTGTCAAGCAACAGCAAAGACAGTTTTGTCCATAGATTATGGAGATGATTGAAGCTGAAGTTAAAAAGTTGATTGACTCAGGCTTCATTAGGGAGGAATAATATCCCGATTGGTTAGCAAATATTATCTCGGTCCTTAAAAAGAATAGAAAAATCAGAATCTGCATCGATTTCAGAGAACTGAACACCGCCTGCCTAAAAGACGACTTCCCTCTTCCTATCACGGACGTCATCTTCGACAACACATGCGGATTTTAGAGAATGTCATTTATGGATAGATTTTTGGGTCATAATCAAATCAAGATGTACCCGGACGACGAAAAGCACACTTCGTTCAGGACACCACTCGGTATCTTCTTTTACACAGTCATGCCCTTCGGCTTGAAGAACGCTAGTGCTACATACCAACGAGCCATGTCAAAGATTTTCTAGGAACACATCTGGAAGACCGTCGAATGTTATGTCGATGACTTGGTCGTGAAAAGTCGTAGCAAGGGCGACCACATTAAAGACTAGAGGGTAATGTTCGACCTTATGAGGACTCATCAATTAAAGATGAACCCGACCAAGTCTTTCCTGGGGATGTCCAGTGGCAAGTTCCTTGGTTTTGTCGTCACCACAAAAGGTATCCACATTAATCCTGATAAAGTGAAAGCAATCCATGACCTGCAACCCTCGAGAAATCTCACAGAACTCAGAGGATTACAAGGGCGTTTGGCTTACATCCGTTAATTCATCTCGAATCTCTCTGGAAAGTGCCAACCATTTTCCAAGCTCATAAAGAAGGGTGTATCTTTTATCTGGAATGATGCCTGCCAGAAGGCATTCGAATATATCAAAGCATATCTGGAGAATCCCTCTGTCCTCATTGCACCGAAGTCAGGGAAACCATTCTTGATTTATGTTAAGGCAACAAATCACTCGTTGATAGCTCTGCTTGTGCAAGACGATGACAACGGTCATGATCAGGTAGTATATTACCTGAGTCGAATTTTAG